GCCTCTGGTGGACAGAGGAGGATGGTTGCTGTGAGGATGGGCGGCAGACTGACGTTCAGCAGAAGGGGGAAGGTTGGAGGTCGTAAGTTTTCGTCTGTCTGGAGTGAGTGGGTGGTCGGACCTGTTTGTAGCTGGAGTAACAGATAGGCAGTGCTGTAGTGTGTAGACAGGGAGTGGTCAGGCTAGAGGGAAGAGGGTTGTGTTGTGATGCGGCAGAATGAAGTGCAGGATGATGCAACTTCCTCCATGTTCTGGCTGGTTTCATTTTACTCTGTGTGTGGTATGTAGTTGTCTCATCCTAAGGTAGTACCTGGTAGCACGTATTTCGAAGTCTAATCACTCGTATTGACTTGTTCCTTCCAGGTTATTCAGAGGCACGCCAGCGAAACGGCAGGATTTAAGGTAGCAATTGGGATACAATGAAGTCAGCAAGGAACGTACATGGAATCGCAGATTACGTACCGCTAAGTACACAAAGGGGCACAGACAAGAATGGCAGCACCATAACTCAACCTCATCTGCACCAGAATGACCTCCTCCTGCTCCCTGAACTGCCTCCTTCTCGTCTGGTACCACACACCAGAGATACCACCACCTCCCTTCGCCTATGCCTCCTCCTGCTCCTCCTCCTCCTCCTCCTCCTCCTCCCCCCCTCCCAAGCTGCCCCCCTGCAGCATAGGAGCAAGCCTATCAGCTCACTGCATCTATGCGCATATGGCTACAGCAGCCCTCAGTGCTCTATCCCATGTCTACACCACCATGTCAACAGCAGCCCTCGGCTGTGCCACACTAGACGAACCACCACCACCACCACCGCCGCCGCCTCCTCCTCTTCTTGCTCCCCCTCCCCTTCCATCCATCTACACCACCATCACAACAGCAGCCCTCAGCTGTGCCACACTAGCAGAACCACCACCACCACCCCCACCCCCCCCTGACCCCCCTCCCCTCCCATCCATCCTCGCCCCTTGCAGCATTGGAATCAGCCTCTCAGTCCGCCAGGTGTTGGAGGCGGGGTTGTAGGCGTGCTGCAGGGGAGGCAGGCGCCTAGAGGGCCGCTGCCTGGAAAGGGAGGGTGCAGCCGGGACGACAAAGAGCTCGCTGTTGAGAGCAAAGAATCCCGCAATGGGCCAACAGCACCCATGTGCTCTTACCCATGCCTACACCACCATGACAACAACAGTCCTCTGCTGTGCAGCACTGTCAGAACCACCACCACCACCACCACCTCCCCCTGATCCCCCTCCCCTCCCATCCATCCTCACCCCTTGCAGCATCGGAATCAGCCGCTCGGTGCGCCATGTGTTGGTGGTGGGGTTGTAGGCGTGCTGCAGGGGAGTCAGGCGCCTGGAAGGTCGCTGCCCCGAGAGGGAGGGTGCAGCGGGGACCACAAAGAGCTCGCTGTTGAGAGCAAAGAAGCCTGCGGAGGGGTCGGCGAATGGCAGGCTGGTGACCCGGTTCCAGGTGTACGGAGCTTGCTGCCTAAGATGACCACTGTTGCTACTAATAATGGCGGCGCTGCTATGGCTGCTGCTGCTTCTGCTGCTGGTATTGCTGCTACTAATGGTGCTGCTGCTGCTGCTAGTGCTGGTGCTGCTAGTGGCACTAATGGTACTAATGCTGCTGCTGCTGTGGCTGGTGGTGGTGGAGTTGCTGCTTATGTGTGAGAGTTCAGAAGCAGGGCCAAGGCAGAGGATGGTGTTACCCGACAGCATGTACAGCCGCCCATGCAGCACAGCAACAGGACCAGCGGTCCGGCGCTCAGATGGCAAACACACCCCGCTAAGCAATTCTGCTGCTGCTGCTGCTGCTGATGTTGATGTTGATGCTCCTCCCAAGGTCTCTGTGCCATTTACAACAGCTCCATTTAACTCCTCTCTCTCCACCGAACGACCCTCACGCTGCGTACGTGCTCTACCTCCAACAGGAATAAGACGCTCCCGCTCTCGCTGTCGCTGTCGCTCAACAGCCGTAGGGTCTCGGAACCCCCCTTGTTCAACTGCCTGTCTGTCCCTCTGAATCCAGCCACCAGCGCTGGGAATAAAGGCGTTGATCTCCCTTACAGGAGAGGCAGCACCCACCACTCCTGCTGGAACTTCCCGCTCCAGAGCCGAACCAAACCCTCCCAGTACCAGCATTATCTGCTCGCTGTTACTGTTGCTGCTGGAGTTGCCCCTGCATTTTCCCTTGCCTTTGTCCCCCCTGCATTTGTCCCCGCTACTATCACAGTCACAGAAGTCTGCAGCAGCAGGCACAGACACTACCGCTCCCACACACCCGCCTCTGGCCTCTGGCAGTGGGAGGAGAGGCTGCCACGTGTCGCGTGCCACGTCGTACCACTCAGCGGCTGCCAGCTGGACACTCCTGGCCATAGCAGGCGCCGGGCTGTGACTACCTCCTGCCACCAAAACCGCTCCCCTACCACCCATACTACCCGAAAGCGGCCCATCATTCCTTTTAGGTGCAAAACCCGTGATTTTCCCCCCGCTGCAGCCGTCGCCGCTGCTGCTGCTGCTGCTGCTGCTGCTGTAGGAGAGGAGAGCAGGGGGGGAAGGGAGAGAGGCAGTGGCAAAAGAACTTCTCGACTCGGCCATGGAGGCCCGCTGGCGCCATTTGTTGTAGATAAGATCAAAGGAGAACACCCGGGAGGTGGGGACCGGTCGGTCGGAAGGATAGACAGTAGCGTCGAAGACCATTCCACCAATCACAAGCAGACACGTGTCAGCAGCAGCCAGCCCGAACCCGGCCAGCCCGTAGGTGTTGAGCGTGGGGATCATGAGGGGGATGCGCCGGCGGCGCCACGTGGCGGCACGAGATTGGTCGTCGGACGGAGTATGGGTGGCGGTACGTGATTGGTTGGGTGGGGGACAGGTGGCATGCTGTGATTGGTGCAGCAGCCAGCCCCCGGAGACTGAGGGGTCACCCTGGAAGAGTGCTAGTAGTTGCTCCTGCCGCCCCTCGATCTGCCGGGCGGCAAAGAGAAGAGGCGAGGAGAAGAGACGATGCCACATGTGGCAGACAGCCTTGCAACTGGAGGGCGGGAGGGTAGGGGGGGAGAGGGGGAGAGGGGATGAGAGAGATGAGAGGGGATGAGAGGGGATGTGAGAAGAGAAGAGGCGAGGAGAATAGACGATGCCAGGTGTGGCAAACAGCCTTGCAAATGGAAGGGAGGAGGGGAGATTAGAGGGGGAAAATGAGAGGGGGGGAGATTAGTTGCTCCTGCCGCCCCTCGATCTGCCGGGCGGCGAAGAGAATTGGCGAGGAGAAGAGACGATGCCACATGTGGCAGACAGCCTTGCAACTGGAGGGCGGGAGGGTAGGGGGGGAGAGGGGGAGAGGGGGGATGTGAGAATAGAAGAGAAGATGCGACGAGAAGAGACGATGCCAGGTGTGGCAGACAGCTGGAAGGGAGGGGGCGGAGGGGATGGGGCAGAGGGGAGGGGGCAGATGGGGAGGGGGCAGAGGGGAGGGGGCAGAGGGGAGGGGGCAGAGGGGAGGGGGCAGAGGGGAGGGGGCAGATGGGGGGGGAAAGAGGATGTGAAAGGAGGAGAGAAGAGACGGCTTGCAGCTTTCGGGAGAAAGGAAGAAAGGGGCGCACTGCACACCTGCGCATCTGTGGTGCCAGGAGATCGAACACGCGTGCGAGGCACTTAATTGCAATGACTTGCAATCCGAAGTAGAGAGGGACGAGGGGAAGAGGGAGCGGCGAGAGGAAGAGAGGAGAGCGCAGCACATACCTGTGATGGTAGACGACCCTCTCTTGCAGCGCAGCACATACCTGTGATGGTAGACGATGGACACGCGTGCGAGGCACTTGATTGCCACGTCATCAGGAAGGCCTGGAATCAGCTCCGTCCGTTTCCCTGCATCGCGACCGTCCGTTCCGCAGCAACTGATCGGACGGCCAGGATCCGTCAAAACCTGCCCTCCACCTGTTGGGTCTAAATCTGTCGGCTTGCAAGTTCTGCTCGCGCAGCTGCATCCTGTGGCGGCGGCGGGAGCGGCAGCGGCGGAAGCGGAAGCGATTTCTGCGGAAGTGGGGATGGCGGAAACTGGGATGGTGGGATGGCTGTTGCCGACGATAAAGGCGACCATGGCGGCGTGTGAGGGAAGCAGGCTGGGAGCAGTACGCCGTGTAAGGACAGCCGGGAGCAAGCTGAGTGCGGTAAGGAGTTCGTTGTGAGGCGCGTCAAAACGAAACTGGGATGGTGGGAAGCTGGGAGCAGTACGCCGTGTAAGGAAAGCCGGAGGCGGTAAGGAGTTAGCTTTGAAACGCTTTGAGGCGCCTCAAAATGGGAGCAGTACGCCGTGTAAGGAAAGCCGGAGGCGGTAAGGAGTTGGCTTTGAAACGCTTTGCGACGAAACTGGGATGGTGGGTGGGATGGCTGGCTCCGACGATGATATGGCGGCGTGTAAGGAACGGCAGAGGCGCGAAGGCGGAACAGCGAAAGCGGAACGACGAAAGCGGGGAATACGGAGAGGCGATGACGGAACGCGCCGGACGGAACCCGCCGGACGGAACGCGCCGGACGGAACGCAGAAAGGAGAGGACGAGAGCGGGGAGACAGGGAGAAACGCAGCAGGCTGGAAACGAACACGAGAATCACGCACGTCACTGACGGAATGTGATGAGCTGATTTGGCTTTCAAGCAGAGGTGCGTTGATTGCTGTGTTGAGGACGTGTCCCGCGCGTATGTTTCATTGCGGTTGGGTGAGATGCTCTGCGCATCACAAGGTTTAAAGAACGACGTAAAACGTTTGGGTTGGGTTTTGAGGGAGAAACGTACGCAAGGGACACGCCCTGACAGACGCACGCGTTTTTTGGAACGAGTGAGGGGGAGAGGAGGAGCGGTGCGTCACGCAAGATCGAAGCCTCGAGGAAACAAGCTTGACTCGTTACAAGATCAAGCCCGACAATTTGTCTATGCATCTCTACAAAGTAGCAGGATCAAGACCGACAACCCTCTCTTGTTGGCAGGGCGGGAATCTCCCCTGCAGTGAGTTACACGACACAGCCGAGAAACGTCGTATTATCACCAATCCTACTATCTCCACAAATGGCTATCGAGCGACGAGCCCCTGTTCCATTGAAAGAAGCAAGAAAACCCCCACACATGTGTGGTTGATGGTGTAGCCTAGAAATATCGCGGTGTTGTCAACTGCCCCATCCCGTCTCAAAGCCCCGAGGCCCCTGTTCCATTGCAAGAGGCAATAAAACCCCCGCACGCATGTGTGGATGATGGCGTAGCCTAGCGATGCTGCAGTGTCATCAGAGCCTCCATCCCCTCTCATGGCCATCGGGCATCTGAACCTTTTTCCCAGTGAAAGGGGCAAGAAGAGCCTCTTGCGTATGTGTGAGTGACGTGATGATGTTGCCCAGTGATGCTGCACTGTCATCAGTGCCTCCATCTCCTCTCATGCCCACCAGGCATCATCTGAGGCTCCAGGAATCCTCGGAACTGAGGCACTTGAAGTGCCCCCCCCACCCGTGCAATGCTGCAGTGTCATCAGCGCCTCCATCTCCTCTCATGCCCATCAGGCATCCGAGGTTTGAGAAATCCTCGGAACTGCGGCACTTGAGGTGCCCCCCTGTGCAATGTTGTAGTGTCAGTGTCGCCACCTCCTCTCATGGCCATCAGGCATCTGAGGCTCGAGGAATCCTCGGAACTGCAAAACCCAAGGTGGGTGGGAGGAATAAGGGGGAGGGGGGTGAATGGGGGAGGAAGAGGGGAGGGGGCGAGGTGGCGAAAGTGGGGAGAGAGCCGACTGAGTGACATGCGACACGTGGCACTATATGTGACATGCGGCATGTGGGACTATATGTGACATGTGGCATGTGGCACTATATGTGACACATGGCACGTGGCACTATATGTGACATGTGGCATGATATGTGACACGCGACACGTGGCAATATATGTGACATGCGGCACGTGGCACTATATGTGACATGCGGCATGTGGCACTATATGTGACATGCCGCATGTGGCACTATATGTGACATGCGGCATGTGGCACTATATGTGACATGCGGCACGTGGCACTATATGTGACATGCGGCACGTGGCACTATATGTGACATACGGCATGTGGCACTATATGTGACATGCGGCACGTGGCACAATATCTGACATGCGGCACGTGGCACTATATGTGACATGCGGCATGTGGCACTATATGTGACATGCGGAACGTGGCACTATATGTGACATGCGGCACGTGGCACTATATGTGACATGCGGCATGATATGTGACACGCGACACGTGGCACTATATGTGACATGCGGCACGTGGCACTATATGTGACACGCGACACGTGGCACTATATGTGACATGCAGCACGTGGCACTATATGTGACATGCGGCACGTGTCACTATATGTGACATGCGGCATGTGGCACTATATCTGACATGTGGCACTGTATGTGACATGCGGCACGTGGCACTATATGTGACATGCGGCACGTGGCACTATATGTGACATGCGGCATGTGGCACTATATGTGACATGTGGCACTGTATGTGACATGCGGCACGTGCACTATATGTGACATGCGGCATGTGGCACTATATCTGACATGCGGTATGTGGCACTATATCTGACATGCGGCACGTGGCACTATATGTGACATGCGGCACGTGGCACTATACGTGACATGCGGCATGTGGCACTATACGTGACATGCGGCACGTGGCACTATATGTGACATGTGGCACTGTATGTGACATGCGGCACGTGGCACTATATGTGACATGCGGCACGTGGCACTATACATGACATGCGGCATGTGGCACTATACGTGACATGCGGCACGTGGCACTATATGTGACATGTGGCACTGTATGTGACATGCGGCACGTGCACTATACGTGACATGCGGCACGTGGCACTATATGTGACATGCGGCATGTGGCACTATACGTGACATGCGGCACGTGGCACTATACGTGACATGCGGCATGTGGCACTATATCTGACATGCGGCACGTGGCACTATATGTGACATGCGGCACGTGGCACTATATGTGACATGCGGCATGTGGCACTATATGTGACATGCGGCATGTGGCACTATATGTGACATGCGGCATGTGGCACTATATGTGACATGCGGCATGTGGCACTATATGTGAGATGCGGCATGTGGCAATATATGTGACATGCGGCATGTGGCACTATATGTGACATTACACACTATGGGCTTGATATACGATATGATGCCATTCTACACTGCACTTGTTTTATCTTACACTACATGTGCTCTGTTACGAGTATTACCCCACCTGTGTGCCGTCCACGCTCCATCTCGCCCTGTACCCTTCAAGCCCCCGCACTTCTAACACTGCCAGGTCATGTGGCAAGGCACGCAGCATGTGACATGTGAAATGCTAGACTTGACACAATAAAACTGAACGCCCACCTGTGAGCCATCTGCACTCCATCTCGCCCCGTACCCTTCAGGCTTCCCGCAATTCAAACACTGGCAGGTCGTGCGGCAAGGCATGCACATTCATCCACGTGGCATTGTCTAATAGGTTCTTGACACACGCCAAGGCGTGCTGGTTCTTCTTTGCATCTGAGGGGGGAGGGAGTCAACGAGCAGTGGAGTGAAATCCAAACAAGTGGATTATGCTTCTGAGTCGACTCTTTGGGGGGGGAGGAAGTCAACACGCAGTGGAGTGAAGTTCCAATCAAGTGGATTGTCGGAGCAGTGGCTTTTGAGTCGAATCAAAAGCTTTGCATCTGAGGGGGAGAGGGAGTCAACGAGCAGTGGAGTGAAATCCAAACAATGGAGTAGTATCGAGGTGACTTTTGAGTCGACTCAAAAGTCAAGAAGTGGAGTAGTATCGGAGCAGTGGAGTTAGAGAATAGTAGTAATACGCAATGCATGAGCCACTATAAAGCACAGAGGAAAGTTTTTTGAGGCGCCTCAAAAGTCATGAGCCACTATAAAGCACAGAGGAAAGAGAGATAAGCCAGTGACGGAAACAACTGCACGACTTTTGAGCCAAAAATAAAGCATAGAGACAGTCACGAAAGAACCGCAGGCACCTGGTCCAGAAGCATCGCCCCAAAATCCCTCACGCCCCCGGTGGCAGTGCTTCGACAGAGCCCTGGCTCCCACTGTGAGTGCCTCCACGTTGGCTCGGGGATGAGGCCTCGAGGGTGCTGGTTGCAGTGTGTGCCCTACGGCAGTAGGTGCTTCTGAGTCGCCCACTGCTGGTCGCTGTGTGCAGCAGTGCTCTGACAGCAGCCCAGCTCCCACTGGGAGTGCCTCCACATTGCCTCGGGGAAGGACGCTTGAAGTTAAAGGTGGTTGGGCGTGAGTGGCTAGAGAGCCTGCAGGTGATTCTGGATCGTGTGAGCAGACTGCTGGTTGAGTTTGGTAGTGTTTCGACAGGGCTCTGGCTCCACTGTAAGTGCCTCCACGTGGGCCCGCGGATGCGGCTTCAGAAGTGCTGATTGTGAGTGGCTATGAATATGTCGTGAGGGAGCTGGCACTAGTTCGTCAAGAGCACAATCGTGAGCGGACCCTCCTCCTGCACCTCGGGTGCATGTGCATGGCACCATCTGCATGTCACCAGTGGTGCATGGCGCCATCAATGATGCCTCCAAACGTCCTCCTCTGCAGGTGCATGGCGCCATGTGCATGTCACCAGTGGTGCATGGCACCATGTGCATGTCACCAGTAGTGCATGGCACCATGTGCATGTCACCAGTGGTGCATGGCGCCATCGATGATGCCTCCGAACCTCTTCCTGTAGATGGACCCATGTCTGACGCCCACTGACATCCTCCTCCACACGTGCAAGTGAACTGAGACGGCCCTTCGGAGGCCTGCACCCGAGACGCCTCCAAGTGAGCTGATTGCCCTTCAGACGTCCCCAGCGCGCCCCTGCACACGCACACCTCACTCCTCTCGGATTGGCTTGTTTCTGGCTCTCGTCTGCAGCAGCAGCACTCTTCGCACTCTGATGCACATATATCTAGTCTGGCCTTCTGCTCCTGCTCTCTCTGCTCCTGCTCTCTCTGCTCCTGCTGCTTCTTTCGCTGTTGCTTTCTATGCTCTACTTGCTTCTGCACCATTTCCCGCCGTGCCTGCCTCTGCCGCTGCTTCCTCCCTTGGACTCCGCCCCCACGGGTTTTTGAAACGACGCAAGGAGAGCCGAGCTAGAGGGGGGAAGGGCAGTCAGCACGGTCCCCTCAGTCACTCGCATCCCCACCAATCGGCTCACGCCACCTGGACCCATGGCCTGTGGAGAGTGGGGGAAAGGAACGGGGCAACAGGGTATTCTTGAGAACAGGGAATTCTCAAAACTACCCTGCAAACTCGTGGACAGACAGACCCATGGCCTGTGGAGAGTGGGGGAAAAGGAACGGGGGCAACAGGAGAGAGAGGGGGTGAAGGCGGAAGGGCAGAGCTGAGCGAGAGGGAGGAAGGGCAGTCAGCACGGTCCCCTCAGTCACTCGCATCCCCACCAATCGGCTCACGCCACCTGGACCCATGGCCTGCCAGGGTTGTAGAGATTGCGATTTTTTGTGGGGTTGGGGGGGATACAGGGGAGGGAGGGGGAGAGCAGCGGGGTTTGCAGTGGTGGTGAGGGGTGTGAGGGATGGAGAGGGAAAGGGATTCGAGAGGGAAATTACAGTAGAGCTAGTGCAGGGGAAGAGGGCGAATATTCCTTTTTAACCAGTTTTGAGGCGCCTCAAAACTCCGGCTTACGACAAGGATTCGATGAATGAGCGAGCCCAATTGAGATTCCACATCAGCATGACGTCCATCCACGTCAGCAGATCCGCATGCCTGGTAAACACCCTCCTCCTTTCCGGCCCCCGTTATAGCAGGGCCCACTCTTATTGCAAGCACTCCAGCTCGCTGCTCCTTCTCCTCGGAGTAGAACCGACGATACACTGCCACTCCTAAAAGAGAAGAAAGTAAGTAAGAAAGAAAGAAAACAGAAAACGAGAAGTTTTTTTCCTTATCTATTTGAAGGGCTATTCTGAGAATCTGAGGCATGAAAACGTTTCTCCTCTGCATAGAAATGGAATGCAGTGCCAGTCTTAGCAGGAAAGGAATATTTTTTTAAAAGGCTAAAACGGAACAGGTTAGTTGTATTGTTTCACCCTTGACACTTGCGCGCTCTTCTACCTTCTTGAGACCTTCCCCTCACCTTCCCCTCACCTTCCCCTCACCTTCCCCTCACCTTTCCCTTACCTTCCTCCAGTGTCTTCACTCCAGGCAGCACGGCAGGGAGGCCTTGAGATGCCAGCATGTGGTGGAAGGAAGGGTAGGCTCGTACGGACTGGGGACAGCGTCAGGGGTGCAAGGGGTGGCGGACAGGAGAGGGGGGCAGGGCAATGAGGGAAGGGGAGGGGGAAAGCACGGCAGGAGGGAGGCCTTCAGAAGCCAGCATATAGTGGAAGGAAGGGGAGGCTCGTATGGACTGGGAACAGCGTCAGGGGTGCAAGGGGTGGGGGTAGGGCACGAAGGGGAAGGGGGAGAGCACGGCAAGTAGGCCTTCAGAGGTCAGCATGTGGTGGAAGGAAGGGGAGGCTCGTATGGAGGAACAGTTACAGGTGTGCAAGGGGTGGTGGACGGAGAGGAGAGGGGGAGGGCCAGGAGGGCAGGGGCGGGGGGGGGGAGCAGGGCAGGGAGGCCTTCAGAGGCCAGCATGTGGTGGAAAGAAGAGTATGGCTGTACAGACAGGGAGGAGAGGATGGGGAGAGGGAAATGAGGGGAGGGGAGAAGCATGGGGCGGAGAGGCCTTGAGAAGCGAGCAGGTGGTGGAAGCAAGGACACTCTGAAAAAAAAAAAAAAAAAAAAACCAATTGATTTTGAGAATTCTAAGAAAGCAAAAAAAACCAACGGATCTTGAGAATTCTCAGAACCAAGGGGCAGGTGTGGTTTGGGCGAGAAAAGCAAGTGAA